ATGCGGTGCTTAGGGACATGGTTTAGTGGGCATGGTGGTGTTGGGTTGATGGGAGGACTCGATGATCTTAGAGGTCTCTTCCAACCTTAATGATTCTATGATTTAGGCTGCTGATGGTTTCAAAGTAAATGCAGGTAAGGCAGCAGTCATGCCAACACAGGTGCTTTCTTCCATCCCCTTTAATCCTTTTCAGGGTTACCCACAGGGAGAACATGAGAGTGTACCCCTAATCTTCCAGTGCCATATTATTAAGCAATATTATTAACACCTAATGCCAGAGCGAATGGTGCAGATTATTAGACAGAGCCTGAAATGGCTGCTCAGCGGTGGTCTCATGCGAAGTCTGGATAAAGTAATGATGTGTCTGTTCTGCAAAATCCATCTATGCCCCAAAATCGAGCTGCTTGTTCCAACTTTGCTTTCTGGTGATGGTCTTGAGAGGCACTGCCCTGAAGCAGGCATCCAAGCATCAGCTTCTCCTTTCCTTAATGCACCCGGCAAGCTGTGCCACGCCAGAGCAGCAGGTCGCCTGGCATCACCAGAGGTTTTGGCTACTCCCAGGCAAGTTAATATCTGTGCAAATCATGAAGTGCAGCTGCAGATCCAAGCGAGCCACTAGAGAGTTACTAGAGAGGAATGTTTGATAGTCTTGTCCTGGAGAACAAGTCTTCTGAGGAGACTCTGTTTTTGTGGCTTCTCTTAGCACAAGGTTTCTGCAGCCCTTTCAGGGGTGACGCCATGCAGAAGTACTGGTGCTATTTTACTTCATAGATAGGTTAAGTAATTTTACAGATTCTTATGCTAAACCAGTTAACAGACCCATACTAGGACTCCAGATCTGATCTCAGAAGAGCCCCTTGCTCTCTTGCGCTTATTCTGCTTGTTAAGCTTTATTTGATTAAAACAAAAATAGCTTTAGAGACTTTCTATATGATAGCTCTTGTTTTGAGAAAACAGACTCCTATCTGAGTTGCTGAACACACCCATAAGCCAGTGGCTGTCCACTTCTGCTGAGTATATCAGTAAGTTATTAGCTCTCAAGGGAGAAATTTGGGGATATAAATAACGTGTGTCTGGGCATATTTGTAATAAAAACAAACGTACGATATTCTGAGAATAGAAGGCAGCTATTTTAACTGCGGGCTAACTTAAACTGTAAAGTAGCTTGCATGCTTCCCATGGGGGGTAACAAAACCTCGCTGGCGGCTGGCCAGAAGGTCTGCTTGCTTTTGCTTTTCTTTACGTGCCTGAAGTCAAAACTTCCTGCACCCCAGCTGCAAACGGTGAGCGGAAGGAGAACGTGC